AAAGAAAAGATTTATGGGAAGCTGCAAACAAAACAAAACAAAACATGTAGAAGGAAGTCCTATGTATCTTTTTTTATAACGTTTATTCATTTTTGAGACAGAGAGAGAGCATGAATGGGGGAAGGTCAGAGAGAGAGGGAGACACAGAATCCGAAACAGGCTCCAGGCTCCAAGCTGTCAGCACAGAGCCCGACGTGGGGCTTAAACTCACAGACCGCGAGATCACGATCTGAGCCGAAGTCGGACACCCAACCGACTGAGCCACCCAGGCGCCCCAGAAGTCCTATGTATCTTTCACCCAGTGTCTTCTAATACTAACATCTCGCATAACTATAGAACGATATCAAAACCAGGAAATTGACATTGGTATAATCCACAGAGTTTATTTGGATCTCATCAGTTTCACATGCATTCACTTGAGTGTGTGTGTAGTTCTATGCAACTTTATCACATGTGTAGATTCATGTAACTGTCACCACAATCAAGCATCAAGATACAGAACTAGTTCATCACTCCAAGGCTCCCTTGTAGTACCCTGGCAGGAATATACTCATGCCTTCTCTCCCATCCTGAACTCCTAGACACCCCTCATGAATTCTCTATATTTAGAATTTTGAGAATTCAAGAACCTTATATAAATGCAATAATATAGTATATGACCTTTTGTGATTGGCTTTTTTTTTTCACTTAGCATAATCTCTCTTGAGATCTAGCCAAATTGCTGTGTGTCAATAGATGTTTCTTTTTCTTTTTTCCTTTTTTTTTTTATTATTGAGTAGTGTTCCATGGTATGGATGGACTGTAGTTTGTTTAAGCTTTCACTTGATGGACATTTGGGTTGTGTCTAGTCCTTGGCTATTACAAATAAAGCTGCCAGGAACATTTAAATACAGGTTTCTGTGTAAACAGAACAAAAATCTTTAATTTCTCAGGGATAAACACCCAAGAGTGCAATTATTGGATCATGTGGTAAGTGCCTAGTTTTATAAGAAACTGCCAAACTTTTCTAGAATGGCCATACCATTCATTGTACATTCCCACCAGCAATGTATGAGTAGGTCCGGTTTCTCCACCTCCCGGACAGCATTTTCACTATTTCTTTTTCTTTTTTAAAGTAAACGCTATACCCAATGCGGGTCTCAAACTCACAGTCTCACCACAGCAATTATCAAGAATGTCATGCTCTACCCACTAGGCCAGTGGGGCACTCTTACTATACGTTTATTTTTTAGCCATTAGGATAGGTGTGTAGTGATATTTCATTGTGGTTTTAATTTAAAGTTTATGTATTCATTCTCTGAGAGAGAGAGAATCCCAAGCAGGCTTTGCACTGTCAGCACAGAGCCAGACTTGGAGCTGGAACTCACTAACCTAAGATCAAAACCAGAGTCTGAGTCTAAATCAAGAGCTGGAGGCTCTTGGTGGCTCAAGGGACTGAGTCACCCAGTCGCCCCTCCGATGGCATTTTCTATTACTGGATGCGCACTGCGATACTCTGCTGTCAGATAATTACTAGGCTTGTTCCCTCACTTCATGCAGCTCTATTCCATTGTCACTTCCTCGGAGACATTTCCCCAACCAACCTTTTAAGATAGTCCACTCCTTCAATCTTTCTCCTTTGCCCTACTTTTTCTTAACAGCGCTAACATAATGCAAAGTATTACACATCAATTTGCTTATTTGTTTATTCTTGGTCCCCCACTCCCTACCCCGCCAGAAGCTCCTTAGAGAGTTTACTGCCATGCCCCCAGGCCGTGGAGTAGTGCTTGGCACATAGTAGGTACTCAATTAATAATGCAGTGCTTGATAGGCTGGAAAAAGTGAGTAAATGTAAAGTGAGAAAGACACGTCTACTTCTAGGTCAGGTGCCCGTTCAGACTTCATGCAAAGTGGGAGCGCCACCTCTCGGGAAGCCAAGTGACTCCAGAACGAAGGAAGTGAGTCACAGAATCTTAAAAAAAAA